AGTCCCCACAATTGCTCTGGATAGAACTGGCGGCCCTGGCGTGCCTTCTAAGAGAAAAAAGCGTTAGTACGAGTTCTTTGGCTGGTCGTTCCTTCGGCCTCCACCTCTCGCATGCACCCATCCGGTGGCCGCGTACCAGAAGGGTAGCCCAAGCAAGCGTTTAGTCGGGCCCACAGTCGTTCACGTGCTCATGACGATAGAATTACACCAAGTTCTAGATCTTGTTCCGCCAGCTCGTGCCATATCAGCCCTGCCATAATTGGAGAGGCATACCAGGTAAATCATGCAATGTAACAACTCCGGCCGCTGCTGCCCTACATCGATGGGCGCCGTTGGGCCCATCTACCTGGATACCGGACGGTGGAGCACGTCACTCTAAACGTCCTCGCCCTTGCCAACATGCCTCCCACTCATCCTTTGGTGACCTATCGATACGTTCCTGGAGCTGGACCTAGTTGTCACGCCCCGAAGTTATTCATCACACAACCCTAGGCCACCCATCGACTGCCAATAACGTCATGGAGAACACTGTCTTAATACCTGAGGACTCTCATATCAACGTAATTGACATCACGAGCGAAGTTGCTCATGGAGTATCGCCATTTAGAGTGGCTGATGCATCATACATCCCGGGAGGTCCTTCATCATCCCCCACCTCACGACTGGATTTGCTTCATTGTATCCCTTGAGGCCTGTATGCCTCATATCGGCCGCCACCCTATCTGCGCTCGAGCATATTCTGATGTCTCAAAGGACTATCAGTGCGGTGCGCAGCGCCTCCGGAGGAACATGGCGAAGCAGCAGCGTAGCTTTGGTCTCGCAACTGTTTAAAAACACATAAACGCCTTCTCAACGCTTCAAAACACAACCCACTCAAGCCCTCAAGCCTCGAGCTCTCAAGAACTACCACTATATCTCGCTCTATCAACTTCTCTTTGCCTACCAAAATCACTACTATATCTACATCATGGTCAACACCTCCCTTCCCCATCGCCATCTCCATAAGCATGATCTTCACGGCTCTTCGATATCTGGCCAATGTCACCAAGCAACACCGGTTCGCCATGACGCCACCCCATCTTCCCTGACCGACGCTGGCCATACTTCTGTGCTTCATACCGGTGCCATTGCGCTTCCCATTGGTCCCCTATTCGGCGGAGATTCTACTTCGCCTCCAAGCAGCCTCTCCGATGTCAACGGGCAGTACAATCATGATTCCGCTCCCACGGATGGAGAAAAAGTGTGGTTCTGCTCAAACTGTTCCGATGGACCTATCAGTGTCTGGCAAAACATCTGTGTGAGCTGTAACCATCAGATATGCGGTTCATGCAGAGTCGAAGAAACGTACTAAATGCGATTGCGGATTCGTACACCTTTGTATTCCGTCACCGCATGCGACAAACACCATCAACGACAACATCATCACGAAGAGTCACTTCTGATGCTGCTCCTGCTCATACTTATGCGGCACTCTCTTCTCCTGGATATTCTTTCCTTGGGTTATTTATTGGGATCTCTCGTTACTCATCGCTTTCTCTGCTTTCTCAATCACTATACCACATTTGTAGACTTGTTGGACATTTGGAGCATTTCGACAAAGCATAGCTTACATGGCGCTGTTCGTTCCTGCAACAACATGATGTGGTCCGCCACAAGCACGACACATACCACCCGGCACATTCGCTTTACGGATCTTGGTTTTGGAGTTTATTTGGATTTACAGTTCGCTACTCAATAGAATTCTCCTCATCATTGCTTGCTTCACTCTCATAACAACCTTGCCACTTTCCTATCATGGCCGCATGCATCTTCCCGCAACAACGTTGAAGCGATGCGCCTCCATCGCTCGAAACGGGGACCGCGTGGTGAGCAGAAGTGCGAACTGCAGTATGCAGACTAGATTCGGCTCTTCATCCCAGAATACACTGCAGAAAGGATGCAGGAACGTTTGTTTCAGCATGGAGCACGACACCCTCAGCGGGAGATTCACAGGCTTCTTTGCATATACAAAGTCGACTGCAGCAACGAATTAAAAAATTGCGGTTTGGATAAAACGTATGATTGGACAAATATCCTCGCTTTTTCTTGAGTTCTGCCTAATGGTTCCAGCCAGGGCTCTTTCTTTTTTGCTTTTTCGTCGAAGTGGCTGACGGGGCCGCGTCATTGCAGCACACGCGAGGCAGGAAGAGGGACCTCTCTTGGCGCCCAGAAAAGCCTGAGGACTGATGGCACGAGGCTGGAACAACATCTTCAACATCCGCAGTGGAGCCCAATATGCCGCCTCAGTTTGCCTACTGCCTTCTCGCACAGCCACCGCTAGTTCCGCTCCGTCGTGCCCTTTCTTCCGGTCTCCGACCGGCTTCTTTCCTGGCCTGCCTTGTTACTTCCCTAATGTCATCATGGAGCGCCGCCGTTGTATTCTCTCACGACACTCTTCCTTAGTTATGGTCATGAGCGAGCTTTCTGACGTACGTTGACCGCTGATTGTGGAGCCAGTGGGTCAGTTTCGGAGGACCTGTCCTAGCTTCCAGGCGAACATGAGGCACCAAAATGAGTGCTGCAAGCAAAATCACGAGTGGCACGAGGGGAGGATGAGGAAGCTAACTGTAGGGCACAAAGGGGCGAGCGTGGCTCAGTCTCCGCCAGAAGGAGAGATGTCATAGCGGAGCGTCCTTCGAGGGACTCGGGATACCTAAGTAGCAAGATAAAATGCCATTGAAGGCCGTCTTCTCTTGTTCTCATAAGCTCATAGCATCGCAACGTTCCCAAACATCTCAAAATTCCACAAGACACACTTCATTGCCAGTTACAACAATCATTCTTCCCTAACTCGTCCAACAACCACCGCTGCTTCGCGACAAGATGTCTGTTTTCTGCTGCAATTGCCGGGATGGCCCTCACAACACGAAGTTCGTCTCAGCATGCACCAACTGCAACCACTACCTCTGCAATGGTTGCCCGACCGCAACGGAGTACTACAACTACAGCACCGCTGCCCCAGCCTCGGATTCGCACCAACATGCTGCGACCCCTGCGACTCACTCGAATACGGCTAGGCTCTCGGGTATTCATCAAGACGCTTCGTCAATCACCCTCAACACACGCTTTCCAGTGGGCGACGGCGGTCGATACACAGAACGTCCCAACAATCCAGTGTGGCGTTGGCAATGCTGCTCATGTTATGGCAACAACAGTGTTGCTGCGGATCCGGGCTGTGCGTTCTGCAGCAATCACTACAGGTGCCATGGCTGCAAAGTCTGGGATGATGCAAGACAATAGAGAGTGCGGATTGATCGGCGGAAAGTAAGCAGCGGCGAGAGCAGTGGTGAGTTCTAATGCCATGAGACTCAGGAGACAATGCTGATCTTGCCAGGTTACATGATCGGACATGATTCTGGAGTTATGGAAGGGGATTTGCTGGAGTTCCGGTGTCTTTCTTGGTTGAGTTCTTGCTTTATTCCTGCACATGATATGGACTCGCCTATAGTCTATTATCTTAAATACCCAGCATACCTCTCTTTATTTGAGCGTCTTAATCGAGTGCGGTGTTGGCTTCAAGCATAGCGATGGTATCCTGATGCGTTCAAGCGTAGCATATCTTGTTAGCTGTTGTTTCCAGTAATTCCAATGTGCTTTTTACGCTGATTCCACATGAATTTCCTGCTCGTGGTCTTGACTTCAACCTTCGCCGGTGATTAGGCCTTCATAGAAACGCCTGTCAGCTTGTGAGCTGCGCCCACTTTACACTTCCGTCGCCTGAGGAGTTGGACTTTTGTCTACAACAGAACCCGAAATCATCTTCCGTAACACAAGATAATACCCAAGGCGTAATCCAGCAAGTTGGGCGCACGTTGAAATAAGGAGGTGAGACATCGCGGGTGGCACAGTCAAGCATATCGTTCCTTCGCGATTGCCGAGTCCTCTGCTGCGACCGGTTCGCCACTGTAATCTGCTCCGTAAATTGGGACCAGGGATGACACGCAGGAACGCCCCATGCTAGAAGGCGGCGTTATGGAACGTAAGCCTGCGCGGATGCTATCTCCGCCTGCGCATTTGAGCTTGTATACGAGCCCGCGTCGACAAAAATGATAGTCAAATCTCCCCGTGGACGCTTGGGTGTTTCTTTCTTACCTTTCTGCTCAGTTGCGCAAAATAGAGGACGAGAGGCGGACTCGTGTTGCGCTTACGTGCGCGCGCATGCTCGTAGGGTGGCCAGAGGGCCCTATTTCGCAGGCAGCGCCGCCAAGAACTTTGCACATGTCGGCACAGCCATGCCACACTGCTCGATCTTTGCTCTCTGCCTTCTCTTAGTGCTTCAATGGGCGAGAAGACATGATTCTTTCCTCGTCTGCAAGAGACACGTCGTCAGAATAAGGCCCTGCAGCCCATTTCTGTGACCTCCAAGGCTACTGTGCGGCTCCAGATTGCAGGAGCGTTATGCCGGCTGATAATTTCGCGGGACAATTCGTCGTCATCGAAAAGGGCGAGGAGGATGCCCCAGGCTGTCCTTCGGGTGGCAGCCTAGACTTGCGGGGCAGCGTAAGAGGGCATTTGTTGTCATCCTCCGCGGACCGTGATCATGAGAACTTGTAGCCAACCCGCAGTGCCAAATTCGCAAAGTTGTCGTAGCTGTTCGCATGTGCTTGCAGTCGTGGTCATCTGCGAGGTTACAAGCCGGCGGGCGGCACAAGCGGATCAAGGACTGGGTGGTGTCATCCATATTGGGCCTAGCGGATATTCCAAGTTTGAGCCCGCGCCTAACCAAAATATGTGTGATTTGCTAATCTACGCTATATGGCTATACCAGCTAGCGTCTAGCAACCATTTCTGCGCGTTCCGAAGCGGAGAGACGCATTCAGGAATGAACAAGTACCAATCACTAGTCTCGTTCGTGGCCAGACAATTCGTCACCTTGGTAGACTCGTAGTACTCTGGATAGAAGCCGGCATATTCCCAGTCAATAATGCCGGTCACGCGACATTGCCCTCCTTCAAGCTTTACTATAATATTTGCAGGCCGAAGATCATTGTGGCTGAGAACATGCTTCTGTGATAGGGGCGGGCAAAGACTTCGAAGGAATTTGATGTAAATTGGGCTTCCATAATGGGGATTGGAGAATTGCCAGTCGTCGAAATCTTCTGTAGTCCAAATAGGGTCGGTTGTGCGGCGAACATTTCTCCTCGCATCTTGGCAACCTTCTCCTGCCACACCTCCAAGTGGCATGTTGTCGGGACGGGTCAAAGACCGTACTTCGATGAAAATATCGTTCAGCTGTGCTTGAACTGAGCGCTTAAGGGAGTCGTCTAGTCTTGGCCAGACTGCTTCGAGTGTCGTGCCAGGCATAAGAGTCATAAAGACGAGGAAACAGTCACCAAGGCGTGCAAGACCGAGTGGTCTTGGTGCAGGAATGGTGGGTTTGTGTTCCTCGAGGTATTGCAGGGTTGTGTATTCAGTCAAGTCGTCCATCTTCATTATAATCTTGAGAGCAATACCAGGACTGCACTTGAGGACGATACTGTATTTGCCCAACGGTGGCGTCCAGACAACTTCGCTCTGTTCAACCAATTTGCGGATACTGTTGGCAAGGGACGATTCGTCGTGGTCGCTTTCAATAAGGCCTCGGAGGGGTTCAGAGAACGGGAACAGGACTGTGGCTGAGGTATGACTATAGAGAAATTGTCGAGCATCGTCAGGAAATGGCGAAGTATCTATCTTGCGAGGCTGTGGATGTGGCTCATCCCAAGATGGAGCTGCAAGGCGTTAGCTTTAGTTTTACAACTAAAGCATGGTGGTGCGAAGCCCACGAACCATCGGACTTTCGACCAGCAAGCCGACTTGCATACGAAGAGGGGATTTTGGATGCCAGATCTACTTCTGGATCCGCATCTAACTCTCTTTGTAGCTTTCTCATAACCATCTTATTCAAAAACAAAGCCGAAGACCTGTCCACAGGGTCGACCCTGTCTGCTCTCTGACATTGAGGATGCATGCAGATGTCGTCTGTGTCGTGAGGTGAACGATGCATAGTGTCTGTGTTGTGAGGCGAAAGAAGATTCGTTTCAGCGCTAGTGTGTTTAGGTGATTTGAAGTCCGCAGGTTGATAAATGTTGTGAGTCCTTGCAGTTGTTTGCGGTCTCGGTCAAGTGCGAGGTTCCAAGCCGGTACAAGCGGATCAAAGACGGGGCGATGCTATCCGCATCGGGCGTAGCAGGTGCTCCAAGCTTCGATCAACCACAGCGCCAACCCTCTTGTTATCTACGCGTATCCATCACTCAAGCATCTATTCAGCAATGCCGCTATCTGTGCTTTCATGGTAAAGCTGCGATCTTCAGGAGTCGGTGCCGTTTGGAGGTTGGCGGTATCTCATACCTGCGGGTCAGAAAGAAGACTCAGACGCTGTCAAGCCGACAATGTAGCCGTAACTAGTCAGTATCCATCGCTCTCGATAGTCAGGTGACTCCGGGCACGGTCCGGAAGAGCCTGGACGAGAGGCGCATTGGCTTTCGTCAGCCATGTAGGTTGAGTAATACAGAAGCGGGGTATCTTACCACTCTACTTGGTAGCCTTAGAATGTTCTTTCTTGTAAGAATACTCCCACGCGACGCGTGACCCGCCAAGCACAAGAAACCTCACATGTGTTAGCTGACCTATACGTTGCTCCTGGCTTCTTCAACATCAATATTGCCATCGAACTGACTCTCGAGACTGCATGGCAAATACGCTAGCGAGTCGAGCAACACAGCCTCGTCTCCTCTACAGTTACATTGCTCAACCACATTTCTATAGCGATCACCATCATCCAGACCGCCAAAATACTCCGGATGGGCCCATTTCCATCGCGTTCACGAGATCGAGCCGTCGAAGTATCCACACCAATAACGACCTGGTGAAGGGCGTTGTCCACGTCAAATCACAAACCAGAGTCAAATACGTCACCATAAGCTTTATTGGCAAAACGACCTGTCGCATTGCGAGCGAGCGCAATCCTGCAAACCAGCATATCTCCGAAGTCGAGCTGTTTTGCCAAGAGCAAACGTTATCGAGGAGGGCAACCCCCAGCGCAACCTGTCCCCCTTCGCGGGTAGAGTACCCCTTCGAATTTCGATTTCCAGAAGCAGTGCCAAATGCTACGAAGCTGCAGAATGATGCGCCATTCCGACCAGATCCTCTTTTTGAGCACGAGAGTGGTCATCCCCTTCCACCGTCGCTATGGTGGAACGAGAGCACGATATGTAACGAGTACTTTCTGAGAGCACAGTTCGTCACGGAGCAAGCTTCATTCACACTTAGTCCCGTTGTTGTGCAGCAACTCCGCTTTAGCCCGTCGGTTCCGGAGCAAGGTCTATCGCCTACAGCTGCTCTTGTACCAGCACCACCAATACGTTTTGAGCGTAGATCGAGACCATCAACTCCAGATCCATCTAAGGAGCGGCGTAACTCGCTGCGACGGCTCAAGTCGGGCTTACGAGGCGGTGCTAAGGAAGAGGAGATATCTTCGACTTCGCTGTTAGTACTCAGTGCACCCCCAGAGTATCGCGTTGGTGCTGCCAGCACGATCAAGCTATCACTGCAAGCAACGCTAAGCGACGGCGACACACAACCAGCACCCGTGTATCTTCGTGGCATCCGCGCGCAAGCAATGACACACATCAACTTCCGAGTCCCGCTAGCATCTGCACCAAATGGAGAGATACGGAAAGAGAGCGTCGAAAAGTTCGACCTCTTCAATCAGCGATACAGTAAACCTGGAATAGAACTCACTTTGGATACCATCTTGGAGGGTTTTGAGATCAACAAAATTGTGCCTCCCACATTCAAAACATACGGTGTCGCACTTCACTATGACGTCAAGTACGACCTCTTGCTCGAATGCGCGGGCAAAGAGTCGGAGCATGAGATTGATGTCGATGATGTGGTTATTGAGCCCATGACAAGACCTGGTGGGCATCTTGGGCCACCGGAAGAGATGCCGCCAGTGAGCGGCTCGGATGATAGCTTTATATTGGAGGAAATGCTTCGGGATAGTGAGCCTGTGGCGGAGCAACCACCACCCTATTACAGATAAAATATAAGACTATCGTGTTTATCGGATGCTACGTAGCTCATAGGACTATCCGTGACAACACGTATTGTGAATGTGAGTAGTACAGCGTGCAGCCTTTGGCTGCTGGCAACGAACACGTAGCGCGCAGCATGGACAAACAGCGCCAGAATGAAGTTCTCCACTTCTTCTTGCGAGAGCTGTTTATGATCACATCTTCAATTTCTCGAATGCAGGATTAACTTACTGAAATCGTCCACACTCAACTCTTGCAACCCACCAACCCCCAAAATACCTCCAAAGCATCTACCCAATATATTCACACGCACTACATTACCTCAGCAACCCTCCATTCCCCCGAAGATGCCCCCGAATCCAGGTCTATACATCTGCCCCTGCGGTATGAACGTGGGCGTCTGGCTCGTTGCCGGCGCGAGTAAATGCTCAATGTGCGGTTGGTCGTGGGGCATGTACGAAGCGGCTCGCATAGCGGACGAGAAGAGGAAAGATGGGCAAGCTACGGACGGGCATGGAGATCAGAAGAATTAAGAGCCATGTATAACGGCGTGTTGTTGCAAATACGAGTGGGCAGCTTTCGGAGGAGATGAAGCTGGAAGGAACATCGAGAGTTTATATCTCAGTTTTTCTTGGGCGAACGTCTGGTCGCCCCGTGGTTGAGATTTCCTCGCCAAAGTATGACTCGATGCAAACGCTCAGACCATTGAATGTATGAGTTCGTATGAATGCTCATATGCTTCACGCTTGTCATAAGGTGACTAACTTCCACCTACAAGACTCCTCCAACATGTCGCTCACTCAATGTTTTGGGTGTATAAATGCTGAAATACTAACAAGATTGTCTTTCTACTGCAAAAACATACTTTCAGAAATCCCAATACACCATCGATTCGATTAATAAGACACAGCAGGTATCACCAACTGCGACATCCACAGTTTCGGGGACAGCAACATACACTCCCGCGCCGAGAACCCTGGATTCATATCGAGAAAGCTAGCCAAGTCAAAGTCGAATACAAGTAGCATCACTATGGCATTCTTGTCAGAAGAGTACAACAACCTCGCCTTCCACTGCAAAGGACGCGAACAAGATACTTGTAGCTACAGCCAGAATCAGGGTCGGATTCTACCAGACAAAGAGCCATGCAGACACGAAGAATGTGTCAGGTCACCTACGATTCTCGGTAAACAGAACGTAAAGGAGGGCGGAAAGCAGGAGAAGGAGGAAAAGCAAGACGGAGGGAAGACTTCAGGGATCTGACGTTGGAGCGAGAGACGCCGAACTGTCCTGAGGAGGCCGAGGCCAGGATGTGTCGGAAATCTTTCTTGTTTTAGTCCGGCTATGAACGGCAGAGTTTCACAACTTTTGGGGGTGCATTGAAGTATAGCAGTGGAATGTTTTTGTCTCGGAAGGTCATAGGGGAATACTCGGCTTAATGTGTGCATTAGAAAATATATCTATTCATCTTTCCACATTCTCAGGCCCATGAAGTGAAAGCCCACGTGTAAACCCACTCGCGACACCCATCACCTCTCCGAAGCGACAAGAAAGAGAAAAAGGATATCATGTAATCAGACCCAAACACTCATACGTATATCTGCAACATCTCAAGGCTTCACACAAGCAACCATGAGCTTCTCGTAGTCGCCGCGCGTCTCCCCTTCTATCCTCTTGACCAAGTCCTTCTTGTAGACCTGCTTGTACGCGTTGCTGACGGCGTTCATAAAGTTCTTGTCCCAGTGGCAGCGGACGACGCGTTGCACGAGGATCTCGTCCTTTGTACCGAGGCCAGCCATCGATTCCTCTAGACGGACGGCTTCAGCCTCGGGCCGGTTGGTGGCACGGTGGATAAGTAGGCGGAGTGCGTCTTCCATGTGGCCTGAGAAAGCGGACTTGATCACGCTGTCGAGGGACTTGTGGAAGCGCTGTTGGTAAGAGTTCGCCATGGCTTTGAGCTGCGCGTCGTTTTTGCTGGTGAGAATCTGGCAAACTTGGGGAACGTTCTTGCTAGCAAAGCCACCCATGCCAGCTTGAAGATCCGTAACAGCCTGCTCGATTTCTTGTGGGTTGACCGGGTATGAGTCTTCTGCGCGGCGGGCCGAGATGATCATGTCGTACATTTGTTCGGTTCCGGCACTGAGGTCGCCCTGGAGGTCTTTCTGTAGCGGCCGTTGGAATAGTTCTTGGTACTTCTGCTTGATGGCGTTGATGTCGGCGTTGCTTCGGCCGATAAGGATGTCGTCCAAGATGACCTCCTTTGTGCCCATGCCCTTCATCGCTTCCATGAGGTTGTAGCAGTCGGATACTAGAGGTCCGCGTGCAATTTCGACAAGTCCTTTCGCGAAATAGCCGCTGGTCTCTTTCTCAAGATCTTGGACCATGTTTCGCATCAGGCGCTGGTCGTATTGCGCCCGAATAGTGTTAACCTGGATAGGATCCCTTTTCGCCAAAACCGCGATGAGCGCCTTTTCGTCGGTGCCGAATCCCTTCATGGCTTTGCGGACAGCTTCGACATCTTTGCTGACGTCGATGTTGGCTACCTGCATCGGACCATAACCGAGGGAGGCCTGAGTTGGTGGCCCGCCGAACCCCCCTGGCGCACCGAACTGGCCTTGGGGAGGTGGAGCACCGAATTGACCCTGTGGCGGGGGTGCGCCATATTGGCCTGGGGGTGGTTGCTGCCCAAACTGGCCAGGTGGAGGTCCAGGTGGTGGTTGATACTGTCCT